CTGAATTTTAACCTAGATTAAACAAAGAAACAAAGTATCCCAAAAGGCTTTTTAATTTTCAGGGCATGTGTGCAAAAGACTGATTTGGGAACTAATACAGGCACATTTTATCAGTATGAATGATCATACTAATTTAATTCTAAGACAGATATTTGGTTCATTTCATCAGGTAAGTATGTGGACAGCCTACAGTCACACTGTCACTGTGTGAGGCAGTAGAGATGGAATGTTTCCTAGGGTACTACTGTATTATGAAATAGCTGAGCAACTGTCCCAGTGTACCCAGGCCTCAGAAGGTCCCCAGGTGCATGATTTTCTTTTTTAAAACTAAAACCATTTCTGGCTGCTTTTATTTCCTCCATTTCTTCTTCTTCCTCACAACTCTCTACTCATCTGAGTGAGTTCTACAAATGTAAGCAAAATCATGGCACATTTCCTGGCTACTCTGCTCATCTAGAAGGAAATCCAAGTCCTCTTTTACTACACAAACGTCCTTATGTTCGGTGCTTCAGAAATGCTCTTCCCTTTGCTAATGTCCTAATACACTGGAGAGGTTTTCACTCCAGGGCTTTCTATTTGCTGTTCACTCTGAGAAAAATATTTTTTAACTTGACTTGCTCAATTATTACCTCTATATAGTGGAGTTTTTTGTTTGTTTGTTTGTTTATTTGAGACAATGTCTCCCTCTGTGGCATTGAGTGGAGTGTCCTGGTGTCATAGCTCACAACATCATCTTTTGGCTGAGCTTCCCAAGTAGCTGGGGCTATAGGCCCCTGCCACAATGCCTGGCTGGTTTTTCTATCTTAGTAAAGATGGGGTCTCACTCTTGCTCAGGCTGATCTTGATCTCCTGAGCTCAGTCAATCCACCACCTCGGCCTCCCAGAGTGCCAGGACTACAGGAGCAAACCACTGCTCCCAGCCTAATTATAGTGTTGTTTTTTGAAGCTTCTTATCCAACTTTGTGCTGTCCCTGTATTTTTCTTTATAATACTAATCACAACACATCATCAGATTGTGTGTTTGAGTTTGTTAGTCTATTGTCTATATCACCTACTAAATTTTAACATAGACTGTAGAATCTGTGTGTTTTAGTCACCAAAGCATAATCAGTACTGACCAGCACTACTATTGAAAAGAAACTTGGTGCATAGCTTTTGAGGGAATGAGAATATCATAATGATGGTGATCATATGCTTTACTTTTATATGTTAGGTCATCAGTTTTTATTTCTAAAATGTTATAAGAAGCAGAGGATACCAGTGATACCATCTAGCCTCTGTGTCCCAGATACTAGGTACCTACCTGTGATGCTCCAGACTATGCACTTTTCATTATTACTATTAATCAATTAGACAGCCATAAACATGTATTCTCATTTTTCTGTGGTAAGATCTCTTTCACAGGTTTATTTATGCTTAGCAAGGTGGTATGAAGTAACTGTTAATTTCAAGTTATTAAACATGAATAATTTACAACAAATGATTAATTGCTTTTTCCTGGTGAAAAATCAATAACCTATGATGACTACCCAAATCACTATCTGGACAAAATGTGGCATTGGTGTTCGCTCAGACAGAGAACACACATAAAATAGGAAGTCTTGTACCAACATGAGTTAAAGAAAGAAGTCAAACCTGTGTTGACAATATCAGAAGTACAACAATCACAACTGATGCATATTCGAGAGACTGAGTGAAGGAAAAGACAAATTGTCAGAACTGAGAAGATATAGTGAGAAGAAAATAAGCTATTAAGACTTGAGTTACAAATAAAAATTCCCAAGAAAAGGCCTAAGCATAAAAAAGCTAAAAGAAATTGCCAGAAAAGGGGATTTTTCATGTTTTTTTCCCTTTTTGATATCTTTATTTTAAATATTAGCATTTAAAGTTTTTTCTAGGCAGAGTCTCCCTTTGTCGCCCTAGGTAGAGTGCTGTGACATCATAGCTCATAGCAACTTTAAAGTCTTGGGCTCAAGTGATCCTCTTGCCTCATCCTCCTCAGTAGCTGAGACTACAGGCATCAACCACCACACCCAGGTAGTTTTTCTGTTTTTTTTTTTTTTTTTTTTTTTTCTTACTGTGTTGTTCTGTTCCCTGGCCCCAAGTGATCCTCCTACCTTGGTCTCCCACAATGCCCGGCTATTTTTTTTGTGGTGGTTGTTGTTGTTGTTGTTAGAGAGAGGATCTCACTCTTGCTCAGGCTGGTCTCAAACTCCTGGGCTCAAGCAATCCACCCACCTAGGCTTCCCAGAGTGCGAGGATTACAGGTATGAGCTGCTGCGCCTCGCTACCAGCATTCAGTTTTTATTTTATTGTTTCATTTAATTAAATTTGAAGGCATACATAAGGTATGAATCAAGAGTGCCCTGTGGCTCACACAGCTTTTCTAGTCGGATAGGTTTGCAAGCTCTTGAGTGTTCTGCAGCATGGAAACCAAGCTACAGGAGGGGGAAAGCCTTCTCTCTAATCCTTACCTGATGTCTTCTTCCACCTAGTCTAAAACATGGAGGCAGGCCTCACCTTCTGCAGAAGAATCATAATTAAACAATTTGAAGTGAACAAGATATTGTACGCACAGTAAGGCATTTACCAAACAAATTTTAAATTTGAGATATTGAAATTACCAAGCATTTAAAATAGGTTGTGGAAATTACTAGACATTTGAAGTAGGTTATAACACGGGCTCAAAATCTGATTCGATTGCCAACAGTATTTGTTTTAATTTTCGTTTTCTTTTTTACCCTAGAGAATTTACAGGAGTTCAAATGTTGTTTGTTACATGGGTTAATCTTATAATGCTTGAGTCAGGATTATACATGTGCCCATCACCCGATAGTGCTCATTGTACACGTTAGATAGATTTTCACCCCTTCTCCCTCCGCCCTCCTTTCTCCCTTGATTTCTGTTAAGTTTTACTACCCGCTCTGCACATGTGGGCTGATTGGTTAGTTATAGTTCAATAGTGAGTGCATGTGGTGATTGTTTTTCCATTTTCAAAATACTTCACTTAGGGTAATGGTTCCCTGTTGCATCCAAATTTTTGCAAAAGGCATTAATTCATCCTTTTTGATGGTTGAATTATATTCCACGGTATACATATGCCACTTTTTGTTAATCCACTCATGAACTGATGAGTACTCGGGCTGGTTCCACATCTTTGTGATCGTGAATTGAGCTGTAAAACATTCTAGTTGCAGGTGTCTTTTTGATAAAATCAATTGCTGCATCAAACAATAGGTTTATTTTGGTTCTTTGAGCAATTCCCATACTGTTTTCCATAGAGGTTGTACTGTTTTGCAGTCCCACCAGCAGTGTGTAAATGTTCCTTTTTCTCTTCATTCTTACCTATAACTATTGTTTTTGGACTTTCTGATAAAAGTCAGTGTCACTGGAATGAGATAATATCTTAGGGTGGTTTTAATTTGCATTTTCCTAATGATTTGTGACATTGAGCATTTTCCAATATTTTTATTGGCCACTTCCTATTTCCTTTTGAAAGGTTTCTGGTTTTGTCTTTTGCCCACTTTTTAATAGCTTTTTAATCTTTTCTTGCTGATTTGTTTGAGTTCTTTGTAGATTCTGGTTATTAACCCTTGACTGGATGTGTATCATGTGAATATTTTCTCCCATTCTGTAAGTTGTCTATTTGCTGTTTATTATTTTTTGGCTGTGCAGAAACTTCTTAGTTTAATCAATTCTCAATTACTTATTTTTGTTGTTGCTATGATTGCTATTGGTCTTTTTCATAAATTGCCTAGGCTGATATCTAGAAGAGTTTTTCCTCCATTTTCTTCTGCAGTTCATATGGATTCATGCCCTACATTTAAGTCTTTTATTCATCTTGAATTAATATCTGAGAGATTTATATCCTATTTCATTCTCCTATGCATGGCTATCCAATTTCCCCAGCACTATTTATTGAATAAGGATTCTTTTCCCCAGTGTATATTGATGAAGTCATTTTCACATCTATAGACGCTACTTTTATTATTTAGAAAATGAAGCTATCAGTAAATAAATTTACAAAAATTTTTTTGTGGAAGTATTATAACAAATGAAGTAATGTGAAGAAGAGTTTATATAATTTGTGGCATCTCAACGATGCCACACATAATGTAATCTCCATTCTCTTATTGTGTTTCTATTACCACAGTAGGTGTTGCTTGTAGTTTGGACAATAGAATGGGGAAAAAATGCATATTATGTAATCTGTGGCCTTTATTGTGTATAATTTACTTAGATAAAGAAAAATGTATATGAATTTATACATTTGAATTTGAGTTTCATAAAGCTTCAGAAAATGGTGATAACATTATGGAATACAGAATATTTAAATAATATTTTGTATTTATGCTATATCTTATAGAACATGCAATATTTTAAAGTTTGAGGACAATGATTTTGGATGGAGGCACATTTTTAGGAAAGGCACAGAATGCTTTTAAGGAACGTGAGTGGCAAATTCTCAAGCATAGGATCAAGGTTAAGGTTGATCTGGCTGAGCCAGCTGGGGAAAGAAGACCAGAAACCAAAGATGTAGAAGTGGGCTGGGAGACTAAGAACTTACAGTTTAAACATACAGAAAATTTCCTAGTCACACATACCGGTTTCCATTATAAATATACCCTTTTGATTGAGACACAGGGGAAAGCAAGACTCCTTGTATTCCTCAGTTCCAGTAAGTTGTTGATAACTTGCAATTGATATGTCTGACCTACAGATCTAGGAAGGAAAGCTGCAGTCATCTCATTTATCTTTGCTGCCTATGTTATACTGAAAGACCATACCTATGACTTGGTGAGATGTTTACCAAACACAACTGGAAAGGGAAAATTCAGTTCAGATATTTAAACTGACTCAGAAACAGCAGTGTTAGAGGAAAAGAAATTTATTCTATGATAAAGTGAGCTCCTTTTCATTCTCATGTTTTTTTTATGTTTTGTGCTTTGGGGTTTTGTTTGTTTGTTTGTTTTTCAAGGAAATTCAAGCAGTAAGTGTTCATGGAGAAATGGAATCACACTTCAAGTGACTTCATTTTGTTGGGGCTGTTTCCCCTGAATCAAACTGGCCACCTTCTCTTATTCCTTACCATCCTCATATTCATCATTGCCTCTGTGGGTAACCTGACCATGATTCACCTCATACGCCTGGATTCCCACCTCCACACACCGATGTACCTTCTCCTCAGCCAGCTCTCCCTCATGGACCTGATGTACATCTCCACCACTGTCCCCAAGATGGCTTTCAACTTCCTCTCAGGCCAGAAAGGCATCTCCTTCCTGGGATGTGGTGTGCAGAGCTTCTTCTTCCTTACCATGGCTGGCTCTGAAGGCTTAATCCTGGCCTCCATGGCTTATGACCGCTACGTGGCCATCTGCCATCCCCTTCATTATCCCAGCCGCATGGGTACAAGGACATGTGTGAAGATGATCATAGGATCTTGGACATTGGGCTCCATCAACTCCTTGGCACACACCGTCTATGCCCTCCATATTCCTTACTGTAGGTCAAGGGCTATAGATCACTTCTTCTGCGATGTCCCAGCCATGTTGCCTCTTGCCTGTATAGATACTTGGGTTTATGAGGACATGGTTTTTGTGAGCACGACCCTCTTTCTCCTTCTTCCTTTCCTTGGTATCACTGCTTCCTATGGCCGGGTCCTGTTTGTTGTCTACCATATGCACTCAAAGGAGGGGAGAAGAAAAGCCTCCACCACCTGTTCAACACATTTAACGGTAGTCACTTTTTACTATATGCCTTTTGTGTTCACCTATCTTCAGCCCAGGAATCTCCGCTCACCTACAGAAGATAAGATCCTGGCAGTCTTCTACACCACCCTTACACCCATGCTCAATCCCATTATCTACAGCCTGAAGAATAAGGAAGTCCTGGGGGCCATGACAAGAGTGTTTGGGAAATCCTCTTCCCTGAAATAATAATTATGGCTGTCCCTATGTCCCTTTCTATACTTCCCTTTTACACATTGATTAGAACACCTTAGAACAGTGTTGTCCAATAGAAATATAATTTAAAAATTTCCAGTAGTCATAGTCATATTAAACTAGCAAAAATTAACTTACAGTATACATTTATTTAATACAAAACATTATTACTATTAACATTGACATTGATATTAATCATGTAGTTATTATTTTAAGATGTTATATGCATCATTACATTTTTGCATGTATATTATTCCTGTAGTAATATTTATACTCATATTGACATAATTTCTACATGTAATTAACATAAAATCATTAGTGCAATCTTTTACTCTGTTTTCATTCTAAGCCTTCAAAGTCTTGTGCTTATTTAGATAGTACACTGCAAATGGGACTATACACAAGTCGCGTGCCAAATAACAACATGGGGCTGGTGTCTTTGGCTTTTTTTTCAGCCTTTTTTATCTCATGGCACACTTAAACCTGTAGTTAAATTTCCACAGCACACTTAAATTATATTGATCAAAAGAAATTAAAAAAGGATATCCTTAATGTGCTTTGAACGTCTTTTGAAAATAATTTAATAAATGATCTTTACATTATTTTGCAGCACAGCTAAGATCCTCTCATGGCACACCAGGTGAAAACCACTGGTCTAAGTCGTTAGACAGCATGGCCTTACAGTAGCCAATAAAATGTTCTCCGACATTCCATATGTGTGCTGCAGTGTATGACAATATATTTGTGGTGCATATGATGTTGATGGTGGGATGAGAAGCAGCAAGCAAAACGAGCATGTTAAAGGGGTGTCTGTAAGTTTGCTGATCTGTTCTGCTTATTTTTAGCATGTGTATCTTTTTTTCTCTTTTTTTTCTTTTTTTGAGACAGTCTCACTTTCTCTCCCTTTTCTCCTTCTTCCTTTCCCTTCCTTGCCATAGAGTGTGGTGATGTCATGGCTCACAGCAACCTCAAATTCTTGGGCTCAGGCGAATCTCTTACCTCAGCCTTCCAAGCAGCTGGGACTACAGGTGACAGCAACAATGCCAGGCTATATTTTTTTTTCTTTTTTTTTTGGACAGGGCCAGATTTGAACCGTCCACTTCTGGTATATGGGGCCGGCAGCCTACTCCTTTAGTCACAGGTGCTACCCTCGAGCCAGGCTATATTTTAGAGATGAGGTCTCACTCTTGGCTTAGACTGGTCTTGAACTCCTGAGCTCAAGCAATCCACCCACCTTAGCCTCCCAGAGTGCTGGGATCACAGGCATGAACCACAGCACCCGGGCTAGCATATGCATCTTGATGGTAATTGATATCTGGATTTCATTTTATTCTTTTATGAAACTATGCAGAGAGAGCTATTTGGCTTTTTTTCTCATTTCAATTAAAATATTGAGATTAAGTAACCTGAATAAGAATATGAGAATAATCCACATTCATTTCTATATTCAAGTTATATTCAAGACAATGACTGGGTAGCTGTTACATGCAAAAAGTAAAATGGAAACAGAGGCTTCAGGTTTTAGCAGAAACATGTGAAATATAATTGTGACCTTCCCAGGTCTATGCTGATATACTTGGCTTTCATGTTTAATGGGAGTTTTACTACTCTTATTTCACTAATACACTTACATTACCTCAACTTTCTGTATAAATGGGTGTATGTACGGGTTCTGGTGTTTATGGAAAATAAAGGAGGTCTCAGAGGAATCAGTCTATTCCATTCATTGCTCAAGTTCCTCTCTCAATATCTTTCCCTGACTTCCTAATCTCTGTTTTCAAGACTTTAATCCATTTCAAACTTAACATATAACCTATGTATTACCATCTGAGTTATTTCTCTGGAGTCTACCTTGCCTTTCTGTGCCTGGTTTAGTTTATTTAGCATTAGTCCCTCAGGCTAATCCATATTCACACAAATCACAAAACCCCCTTCCCTGCCCCATTTTGAAGGCTGAGTAGTACTCCATTGTGTATAAATACCACATTTTCTGTGTCCATTTATCTGAGAATGGATATCTAGATTGCTTCCTTATCTTAGCTGTTGTGAATAATGCTGCATTGTACATGAAAGTGCCGATACCTCTTTGGTTGCTGATGCCAATTCCTTTGGATATACACTATGTATTCAGAAATGGGATCACTGGATCATATGGTTATTCTATTTTTAGCTTCCTGAGGAACTTCCATGTTGTTTTTCTTAATGGCTGTACTAACCTAATTTCCCACCAAGAGTACGCAAGGGTTCTTTTTCCTCAACACCTTTACCAACACTTGCCATATTTTGGTTTTTTTTTATAGGAGCTGTTCTGACTGTTTTGAGGCAATAACTCATTGTGGCTTTAATTTGCATTTTCCTGATCAGTGATGATGAGCATTTTTTCCTAGTATATCTGTTGATCATCTGTGTGTCTTCTTTGGAGAAGTGTCTATCCCATTTTTTAACATTTTGGATTAATATGAAGGTACATACAGTTAGGTTACATTCTTCGTGTTTGTGAGGAAAAGTCAGAGTTGCAGTTGAGTCCTTCACCCAGGAAGTGTGTCATAAACCCCTATATTGTACCCATTAGGTGTGAACTTACTGAGCCCCTACCCCCTTCTTTAATTTGTGTTTTTATCTCCTGTGGACCTGTAGTTATTGACCTATTAGTTTCAACACAGTATTGAGTACATAGGATGCTTAAACTTTGCATCTTTTGTATTTACCTGTATTGTAGAATTTGAAGAACATTCTCCTTTGCTCATTTTCTTTATTAGGTTATTTGTCTTCCAGCCATTGAACTGTTTGAGTTCTTCACAGATTTTGGATACTGGGCCCTTATCAGATGTATGGCCTACAAATATTTTCCCCTGACCTATGGATTGTCTCTTCACTCTACTAATTGTTTTCTTATCTGTGAAGCTTTTTTGTTTGATATACTCTTATTTGTTTATTTTTGTACTTTTGTGGCTTGTGCTTTGGGGTCATATACAAGATGTTGCTGCCCAGATCAATGGGGTAGAGCATTGATCCCCCTGTTTCATCCAGTGGTTTTATAGTTTCAGGCACTACATGTAGGTCTTTAATAGTTGATTTTTGTTTATGGTGTGAAATAAGGGTCCAATTTTATTCTGCATGAAGGGTATCCAATTTTTTTAACACCATTTGTGGAAAAGACTATTCTTTCTCCAGTGTGTGTTCTTAATCTTTGTCAAAAATCAATGGATGATGAATGTGTGGTGTTATACAAGATATGTTGTATACTTCACAGACTTTTTTAATTACTCCTGGGACAAACTGACCATTATTCTCTGCACTTATTCAAAGCACGTGGAAATAGACCCATTCAACATTCAGTTTTAGTCCTCACATCGCTTTAGGCAAAGAGAGTTCTAGCTTCTTGTAGGATTAATGAATTTTGTGGTCCTGATTCATGCACTTTACTTTGCTCCAATTTTTGTTTTATTGTCACCTCCTTGAGGAGACTATTATCCTGACTCCTTAAAAATGCAATTCTCCCCTCCTTTTGTATCTTCCTTGACTACATTAATTTTTCACATTTCTCTTTCTAAAATACTTCATTCGTTACTCCCCTTTATCATCTACTTTCCCCATAGCATTTCTTCACTTTTTTTTTTAACCAGGGCTGATACCTGGCAAATAGTAAGAATCACTCTGATTCCACTAATTAATTGATAAATGGTTATATAATCCTTTTATCCTAGTTCGTACAAAGATCAGAATTTCTGATGATGGGATATTAATATGATCCCTGATGGGTTACTAAGGAGGAAAAATATAAGCAAGAGCTTTTCTAAGAATTGAGCTAAAAAACTAATGAGCATCAAAATATATATGTGTGTAATTTTGTTAAATAAAAGCAAAGACAAATATAGAGAAAAATTGATAAGGACCTGGAAGAAAGCCATTGGGGTGAGGACTTTGGATAGCCTATGGACAACAAATTTATTTCTCAAAATTCTGAAGTCTGAGGAGTCCAAGATTACAGTGTCTGCAGAGTCAGTGTCTGACGGGTCTTGTTTTAAAATTTAGATAGAGCCTTCTTGCTGTACAAGAGGTAGTAACAATGCTCCTGAGAGCCAATTTTATAATGGCATTAATTCTATTTATGAGGGCTCCATCTTCATGACCTAATCATCTCCCTAAAGGCCCCAATGCCAACACTCTGGGGATTAGGATTTCAACATAGAAATTTTGAGGACACACATTCAGACCATGGCACATTCCCCTCATCATCCTCACTATGCCATTTCCTTCTTATCCTGTCATTCTGTCCTTTTTTTTTTTTTTTGCAGTTTTTGGCCAGGGCTGGGTTTGAACCCACCACCCCCAGTATTTGGGGCCGGCACCCTACTCCTTGAGCCACAGGCACCACCCCTCATTCTTTCTTTCTTATGGCTGGCCTCATGGGCATGTGACCTATGCAGCTGCACAGGGTTCCACACCCAGAAGGGCCCCCTACTTGGTTTAATGCACTACTATTACTACATTGAAAGTTTTAATAATTCTCTTCTCTGAGCACACATGTGAGCAGGGAAACAGCAGCATTAATACAGAGTTTCAGTCCAGCAGCAGTGCTTGCACACATTAGCTCAGGTAGCACGCACACAAAATAACTGGCCCGACCTTCCTATGTTCACACACACACACACACACACACACACATATCTTAGAATAGTTCATGGCATACAAGTGGCCACTTCTGGGAAGAGAAGGTGTGATCTTCCTGCTAGCATCACTGACTGGTGGTGGGAGGCAAATTTTCCCTTCTGTCCCAGAGTCCATCCTTGTGACATTCACAAAATGTTAACTAATTGAATACCAGAGCAAGAAATGTCTATAATCCTAGCTAGCACTCTGGGAGGCCGAGGTGGGCGGATTGCTTGAACTCACAAGTTTGAGACCAGCATGAGCAAAAGCAAGAACCCATCTCTTCTAAAAATAGACAAACTGAGGCAAGAGAATCACTTGAGCCCAAGAGTTAAGAGTTA